TCCAACGCTCAGGCGAGGAGCCCGGTTTGCCCAACGCTCCATCGCCAGTCGTGGGATAGCTGCAGTACGCCCAAGTGAAACCCTACCCCGAAAGTGACGAAATTGGCAGTTGCGGTGGTCCAACATTTAGCCGTGGAGCACTGTCAGTCGCAATGACTGAACAGCTTTATTCGCAAAGTATGAACGCAGCCATAGACTTGTGGGATGTTTTGCACGCTCAAATCGAGAACTCTGTTTTATTCACAGCACCCACGTTTTCCAGGACTATTTTAGTAGAGGAGGGATGGAAAGGCAAGCGGCGGCGCGGCCAGGTTCACTCAATCCTTTGTCGTTGTTCTGACGATGAGACCAGGTCGCGCGTACTTTGTGTTCTGCCCCCCCCCCCCTAAGGCCCAGCCGTGGTTTTCGTATTCTTATAAGTTCATTGTGTACTCATACTTATAACTCCAAGAACTTTATCAGTAAGTGATACAAATATTACAAAAGTATTCATCACAGACACTTCTTTTGTATAAAAACATATTTAAATGTTGAATACTTGTCGCTTTTCATGAATAATTAAACACGCACTCATAGTTTATACGGCCGTTGTTGAACCTGAAACGGAAGTATTCAGAGCACAATTGACTGAGGGTGTACAGTGCATATGCAACTGCTTTGGAAGGGAAGTGTCCACGGACCTGGCTGTGAGCGCAAAAGCGGCAGACAGTCTTTTCAGGCAGAAAGAGTTGAAACCCGATATTGTCTTGTGCCGTCTGCCTTCTCCTACATGTTGCTTTCGTCTCGCCTGAACTGGCGAGTATCTACCGCCACCGCGCTCACGACTAAGTTTGTGAGCACGCCCCTCCAACACCGAGATATGGACTGTACATGGAAAACAATAAATTCAGCACCTTAGGCAAAAATCACTGCTGATACATCTGACGCGGTTTCCTGTATCGCTTCCATCCATGCACCCGTGATGTTCACCTTTTCGCGGAGAAATCGATTGACGTCATCCCACATTTTTCTCTCGCAAAATATACCCTTGGAAAAAGTTTTAGTTATTTTCGCTTTACTACTGCTCACCAGTAAGTCCACATTGGTAGTTATAAAACGAGAGCTACGCTTCCATTCAGAAGGTTGAGGGGTGGAGTCCGTGAGAGGGGCGGGAAAGCCGTCTTCAGTTCGCCGTGGTTAGTCGTTCGTGAGTTTACAAGTCACTATCAAGAGGTAACGAGTTGCCACTTTGGTTTTGAATGGCAAAAGGGCGGGACCTGTGAAGTGGGGCGGTTCGTGACCTCTGGGTTGCCGTGATCCTACTTCAAAGGCGTTTCTCAAGTAAACGGCATGAAATTACTCCTCCAGCAGATATTATCTTTTAAGAACTTCCTTGCATACCAGAACTGGGAACGGCATACCTGATGGCTGGCAGGAATGAGGAACAGTTCGCTGTTTGCTATCCTTTCCTTCATAGCAAGACCGTGGTGATGATCTACGATCGCATCGTCCTGGCCGTGGCAGACGAGCGTCGGACATTTGATGTTCTCTGCCTTGTCGTAACTGAAAACCAGCTGCAATGTTCACTAGTCTAATGTCTACGATGGCATCATCAGAGACATCATTCTTTGGGATGCGCCACGCACTTGATTTCCTTCAGTTTATCGGGATATGGCCATCTGACAGCGACCTGTAGAGATGGTTTCGAACTGTTAAAGACACATTTCGCGAACATGGAATAGGCGTACGCTGTCAACGATCGTGGTTATCTCATTGGTGCGCCTCACTTCTTTGCCATATCGGAAGGAGCGGCGCACCAGTGAGAAAGGCGCAGTGGTTGTTAGTCTTTCTCGCCCATCCGATCTGCACGAAATATGACTTTTATTGAATTCATCGCGAGCTGGCCACTAGCCTGGTGTGAAGCATTACTTCCCAGTCGCGGCGAAGTAGTCGTTGCAGGTGCGATAACGTATGCTGCATTCGCTCTAGGACCCATCATCAACGTAGCAGTGTTGCGGCGCGTCGACTCGCCCTGCGTCTGCGTCTCTCGAGTCAACTAGCATTCTCTGTGTCTGTCTAGACAACTATCTAGGGATTGAACTGCTTTAAGGCAGCGTTTCACACTTGTAGCTGCTACATGCGTCCGCGCACTGCGTCGCGCTAGCACGTGCGGCGGACACTGGAGTTCGGTAACAACTGATAGGGCCAACAGTTTAGCCGACTCGCTTTTATGTTTTTTCTTCTTATATCATCCTGCTTCTGCTTTGTTTCAATATTTCGTGAATAGTGGAGCTCCGCTGTTTCTACTTTATCACATTTTGTGTATTTTGGGAATACAAAGACTGTGGTAATTGTTTTATTTATCGTTCTACTATTAAGTTATTGTTCACCGTTGCCTTGATATTTGATGGCTTTGCTTGATGTCTTGCAGTGCTGCGTCGTTTTGATCCCGATTGCGAAACTACATTAAAATGTGATAAAGTAGAAAACAGAGCTCATATTAGATGAATATTAGGAACAAAGAGAAGAGGATTGAATACAGAAAGAAATGAATCGAATCCAGTAGAGTGCCGCTTATCAATTATGGGGCGAAATCTGCTTTTAGAGTTTGCCCCCAATCTCTGCCTGGATCACAGGAAAAAGATTTATGCCGGTTTTCGAGGCATTCACAGCCAACAAAGCCTGACAGTTTCTTGTACTTTTTTTGGCCTAGGAGAGTATCAGTATTGAGTCGCATTTGTCGGCAGCAGAAAAAAATGGCCTCATCTCCCACAACAGGCACGCGAAGACTGTCTGATCACCAATGCGTTAGCACAATGCAAACAAGAAGTTCCTTCATGGTTCTTGTGTCTCCGGTAAAAAACATGCATGCGTGTTTTTAGGTGGCGCGAGTACTCTTTGGGTGTTTTTTGCAGAAAATGCTCTTAATAGGACAGAAGGACACTGTTACGCTAAAAGCAGTACCAGAAAAATAGTGACTAATGGAGTAACTGTCAAGGACGGTCAGATAGTTACAGCTGTATCAGTCTCACCTTTCCGTGAATTCCTCAAGAAAACTCCAACAACCTTCCTACTTTTCTCTGTAAGCAACTCTAATCATCCTAACGTTGAATGCAGTACGTTGCCCGAGCGGCCGTAAAGCGCTACGCTGTAGCGCTACGCTGTAGCGCGACGCAGTAGCGCGACGCTGTAGCGCGACGCAGTAGCGCGACGCAGTAGCGCGACGCTGTAGCGCGACGCTGTAGCGCGACGCTGTAGCGCGACGCAGTAGCGCGACGCTGTAGCGCTACAAGTGTGAACGCTGCCTTATACGCTGAGCGATGTCTGCGACGGAGAACTCTCCACACCGCCTGCCACTGCAAGCCGAAGACGTTCTAATACAATGCCACATAAGATCAGTGGCGCGCGCAATTTCGAGACGTTTTGCCTTTACCGCACGTTATAAAGAGCTGTATTCCATTGCTCAGTTCTTTGAAACATGGTCCGCCCAGATCGATTCCGTGATATTTGGACCGGCGAGGATAACTCGCATAGGAGGTGACAGGAGCTATAAGCACGCATGGAGGCAAGCCTTAACGAGATCGCTGAGTCATGACGCTCTTGACGCCTTGAACGGGTGGAGAGTCTGGCGGGATTTGGAAGGGGCATTGCACGTTCGCTAGTTTATTTTGCTGGTTCCTGTTGAATTACACGTCTCACCTTCGTGAGACCTGTTGGCTCCAGTCAACTGTAGATGAAGCTCTTGTTATTGCACAGCTTTAACAGGATCTTCAACAGGACTCTCACGGACATCGCCAGGGATTGACAAGAAACCAGCAAAATGCCCCACCAAGCCAAATCGCGCCTACAGTTGTTAGAATGCTTTCCTTCTGAAAGAATGGTGAAAATTATTTAAGGGAGACAATCGGTGTTCATTGTTTCTAGTAGCAAAATATGTGTAAATCCTCCTGTGCTCAAATTCCAACCGCAGCCTAGATCGTCTGAGCGAGCATGGGTGCAGGCCATAAATGACGGCTTATCTGGCACTGTTCCCATGCAATGGCAGCTCGCCATAGGTGGCAACAACTGGTGGAAAAGAGCTTGTAAAACTACTTACACAGAAAACGCCTCAAACAGAAAACGATCAGCTTCCCGTCTTTAGGGCTGTCCTGTTCGCGTTCGGGTGCAATTAGTCGGCCTTGATCACCTGCTGAGGGCAGGAACTGGTCGCGCCAAATCGCGCGCCGCGACTTGCGCACGTGAACTGCGGAGGAACAAATGCTACAATACCCGTTCTAATGCCGGGTTACATTCAACTCACATCGGGTGTTATCGATGCAATGTGCACCATAGCGGCTGTACCCAAGCTGAATCCTATTAGAACAATGTCTTTAGGGGCATAGCCCAAGTCTTCGATCGCGTACCTGGAACATTCAATGATCTGAAGGGATGAAGCTTCTACTGCTGGGAAGACTTTAACCCAAGGAAACAAGTAGTGAAGCCTCACTTGTAACCTCTTCACAACCTATCGTAGACGCTTTGATCTGTGGCTTTTTCCAGTCACTGACACCATCAGCCAGAGCATAGTCAAATACAAGCATACATCGCATTTGAGAAAGTCGGCTATGTCAGCCTATAACGTTTCTCACAAGTAGTTAAGGTCAAATACAGTTCTGAAACTCTCTTGAAGGTGCGTTACGCGACACTCCAGCGTCAAGCGGTAAGCGAAAATCGCCGAATGGAAGAATCGGGTCAGAACCACACGCACGGAAACAGGAAACTGGTCGTCTGGTGGAAACCCCGTGCCATAGCTATCTCAACGCCGCTTACCGTTGAATTTTGTATGCTACTCTCCATGCTCCTAATTCCAGAGAGGAAGGGGTGATAGGCGAATGCTTCCAGGGAAAATAGTTGGTAGTGAAGAAGCACTTCACAAAGTTCGGATCCATGAGCATACAGCACCCGATATCGGAGCTGTTCGGCTGGGCAAAGATGATCAGTTTCGGTGATCGAGTTCTGAACGTTTTTTTGCTTACTTTTGGTGTGATGTGACTAGGTAATGAAGTAAAATGTAGTAGTCCAATCACGTACTAATATTATATAACGGCAAACGTCTTTGTTGTCTCTTGTCTGTCTGTCCGGAAATTCGGCATCACCTGAAGAACCAGTTGGAGGCGCCGGGTCAAGGGTGGGTTGGGTAGGGCATGGGTCTAGATGTACGGAACACACATGAACTGAGCTAAGCTCCGCCCACTGTGGGCGGGGCATGCGCACAGTTGTGAGCTACATAGTTCAAAAATTCGTAGTTCGGTTCTAGAAGATCCCGGAGAGCGGAAATTGTGGGAAACGATAAGCAGTCAGTTGGCGGATGAAATGAGGGAGTCACATCCATGATGGGCGCGAGGCGTGCTATAGGTGGGCGATGCTCGCTACAAAACTTTTAAAAATGAGTTCGTTCAGGAAGATCACCGAGAAGGCCGGAAATTGGGGAAACGATAGGCAAACAGTTGGCGGACGCAATGAATGAAGCACACCTGCGATGGGCAGGGCGTTCGCCGAAGTAAACGGTGCCCGGGATAAAAACCCTCAAAATATATCCGAAAAACTCCAGGAAATGGGAAGTAAGTGAAACTGAGCAATGGTTGCGCAGATGAAGTTAGTTAGGGATAACCGTAGCGAGTATACCAAATGGTTGGTGCCGTCGCCAACAGTTCATAATTCGGTTCCCAAAAACACAATTGTGGCATAATCGTGAATGGGGTATGTGCCATAGTGTATGGGAGTCAAAATCAAGGGTTCGTAAATCAGTATGTTTATTTATTTGTTTATTTACCTATTACTTACTGCACAACAATTTAGGTAAATGCATATTCCTACTCACTTATATACCACTAATCATCCAATCCGACCAGACGACAGATCGACTATAGACACATAGTTTCACAGTTGTTTACATTTCAGGGACTTGCTGGACTCTATCACACCATATATAAACGCAACGTCTAGTTGTTTGTCTGTTTGTCTGTGTCCGAAATTCGGCATGCCCTGAAGAAGCCTATTGGAGCGCCGGGTCAAGGGTGGGTTGGGTAGGGCATGGGTCTAGATGTACGGAACACACATGAACTGAGCTAAGCTCCGCCCACTGTGGGCGGGGCATGCGCACAGTTGTGAGTTACATAGTTCAAAAATTCGTAGTTTGGTCTAAGAAGATCCCGGAGAGCGGAAATTGTGGGAAACGATAAGCAGTCAGTTGGCGGATGAAATGAGGGAGTCACATCCATGATGGGCGAGGCGTGCTATAGGTGGGCGGTGCTCGCTACAAAACTTTTAAAAATTCGTAGTTCGGTTCCAGAAGATCCCGAAGAGCGGAAATTGGGGAACGAAGCAAACCATTGGCGACAGCATGAAATGAAGCACACTCTGCGAATGGGCAGGCGTTGCCGAAGTAAACGTGGCGCGGGAATAAAAACCGCAAAATATTCGAAAAACTTCCAGGAAATGGGAAGTAAGTGAAACTGAGCAATGGTTGCGCAGATGAAGTTAGTTAGGGATAACCGTAGCGAGTATACCAAATGGTTGGTGCCGTCGCCAACAGTTCATAATTCGGTTCCCAAAAACACATTGTGGCATAATCGTGAATGGGGTATGTGCCATAGTGTATGGGAGTCAAAAATCAAAGGTCGTAAATCAGTAGTTATTTATTTGTTTATTACTATACTTCACCGCAAACAATTTAGGTAAATTGCGATCTCCTACTTCACTTTTTATAACTAATCATCCAAATACCCGACAGACCACAGATCGACTATAAACAGTAGTCTTAACAAACAGTTGTTTAAGCGATTGAGCGGTACTTGCTGACCTCTATCACACTAATGATATAAATCGCAACGTGTTTGTTTGTCTGTTTGTCTGTCTGTCCGGAAATTCGGCATCACCTGAAGAACCAGTTGGAGGCGCCGGGTCAAGGGTGGGTTGGGTAGGGCATGGGTCTAGATGTACGGAACACACATGAACTGAGCTAAGCTCCGCCCACTGTGGGCGTGGCTATGCGCAACAGCTGTGAAGTTACCATATTCCAAAAAATCGTATTTCGGTTCTAGAAAGAATTCCCGCGGAGAGCGAGAAATTGTGGGAAACGATAAGCAGTCAGTTGGCGGATGAAATGAGGGAGTCACATCCATGATGGGCGAGGCGTGCTATAGGTGGGCGGTGCTCGCTACAAAACTTTTAAAAATTCGTAGTTCGGTTCCAGAAGATCCCGAAGAGCGGAAATTGGGGAAACGATAGGCAAACAGTTGGCGGACGCAATGAATGAAGCACACCTGCGATGGGCAGGGCGTTCGCCGAAGTAAACGGTGCCCGGGATAAAAACCCTCAAAATATATCCGAAAAACTCCAGGAAATGGGAAGTAAGTGAAACTGAGCAATGGTTGCGCAGATGAAGTTAGTTAGGGATAACCGTAGCGAGTATACCATGGTGGTGCGCGTCCCAAAGTTCATAAATTTGGTTCCCAAAAAACACAGTTGTGCATAATCGGAATGGGGTAGGCCATAGTGTATGGGAGTCAAACCCTACCCACCCGGTCCCGTACCCATATCGCTTTATATTTGTCTTATTGTTACGCTATTATCAGCTGCAAGGCCCCCCACAACCTCTCTTAGGATAATGCATATCCTGGACTTCACTTTCTTAGCCTATCATCCCAATACCTCTCACCGCGCCCTGTGATCGACTAGAACGTATCTACAGTTTTACCATTTGGAGGGTACTTGCTGACCTCTATCACTACTATATATAAACGGCAACGTCTGTACGTTTGTCTGTTTGTCTGTCTGTCCGGAAATTCGGAATCACCTGAAGAACCAGTTGGAGGGGCGGGTCAAGGGTGGGTTGGGTAGGGCATGGGTCAAGATGTACGGAACACACATGAACTGAGCTAAGCTCCGCCCACTGTGGGCGGGGCATGCGCACAGCTGTGAGTTACATAGTTCAAAAATTCGTAGTTCGGTTCTAGAAGATCCCGGAGAGCGGAAATTGTGGGAAACGATAAGCAGTCAGTTGGCGGATGAAATGAGGGAGTCACATCCATGATGGGCGAGGCGTGCTATAGGTGGGCGGTGCTCGCTACAAAACTTTTAAAAATTCGTAGTTCGGTTCCAGAAGATCCCGAAGAGCGGAAATTGGGGAAACGATAGGCAACAGTTGCGGACGCAATGCATAACACCCTGCGATGGCAGGGGCGTTGCCGAAGTAAACGGTGCCCGGGATAAAAACCCTCAAAATATATCCGAAAAACTCCAGGAAATGGGAAGTAAGAAACTGAGCAATGGTTGGCGCAGATGAAGTTAGTTAGGGATAACCGTAGCGAGTATACCAAATGGTTGGTGCCGTCGCCAACAGTTCATAATTCGGTTCCCAAAAACACATGTGGCATAATCGTGAATGGGGTATGTGCCATAGTGTATGGGAGTCAAAATCAGTTCGTAAATCAGTATGTTTTATTTATTTGTTCTTATTTACTCTATTACTTTACTGCACAAAATTTAGGGTATGCATATTCCTGAAAACTTCACTTATACACTAATCATCCAATACCGACAGACCACAGATCGACTATACAGTAGTTTCACAGTTGTTTACCATTTGGAGGGTACTTGCTGATCTCTATCCTACTATATATAAACGGCAACGTCTGTTTGTCTGTCTGTCTGTCTGTCTGTCCGGAAATTCGGAATCACCTGAAGAACCAGTTGGAGGCGCCGGGTCAAGGTGGTTGGTAGGGCATTGGTCTAGATGAGTGGAACACACATGAACTGAGCTAAGCTCCGCCCACTGTGGGCGGGGCATGCGCACAGTTGTGAGTTACATAGTTCAAAAATTCGTAGTTCGGTTCTAGAAGATCCCGGAGAGCGGAAATTGTGGGAAACGATAAGCAGTCAGTTGGCGGATGAAATGAGGGAGTCACATCCATGATGGGCGAGGCGTGCTATAGGTGGGCGGTGCTCGCTACAAAACTTTTAAAAATTCGTAGTTCGGTTCCAGAAGATCCCGAAGAGCGGAAATTGGGGAAACGATAGGCAAACAGTTGGCGGACGCAATGAATGAAGCACACCTGCGATGGGCAGGGCGTTCGCCGAAGTAAACGGTGCCCGGGATAAAAACCCTCAAAATATATCCGAAAAACTCCAGGAAATGGGAAGTAAGTGAAACTGAGCAATGGTTGCGCAGACGAAGATGAAGTTAAGTTAGGGATAACGAGGATATAACCAAATTGGTTGTGGCCTGTCGCCACATGTTTCATAAATTCGTGTTCCCCAAAACAACACAGTTGTGGCATAACGTGAATGGGTATTGCCATAGGTGGGAGTCAAAATCAAGGGTTCGTAAATCAGTATGTTTATTTATTTGTTTATTTACCTA